GAGTGCATCTTGGACTTGTTTTGGGGTATTGTGGAGCCGGAACTCCCATGCCTTTGGCCGCGTCGTTTCCTAAGGAGCAAGCCCAGCGGGACCTGCAAGAGAAGTGCAAGGTCGGGTGACGATGTTCGTGTAGCTTGGTTTCGTGAACTTTCCGGCAGGAGCTGGAAGCCAACGCGGAGGCCGCTTCAGAAGCGAAGTTGAAGCTTGTGGCAGAGCTGGCTGAAAGGGACCGGGCACCGTGCTCAGCTGCCTTGACGCGGCGTGTATGTTCCGGGGCGATACTGCACGCTACTGCCAGCTGAGGAACTGGCGGATGCGAAGCTGGCAAAGACCCCCGTCGATGATCAGGCAAAAGATCATGTGCACTTTCCCAGCAGCGCCACCTAACTTTCAGCAGAAGCCATCTGCAAGTCGGAATCAAATCATCCCCCCTGACAGCGGGAGCTGTCACCACACCATGCAGGGGATGAGTGGATTGCGAGACCAGCATAGCGACGCAGAAGCCAATCATCAAGGGAGCGCCATAGAGTCGGAGGATGGCAAGCAAGTGCGGCAACTGCAAGAGCAGCTATCACGGCAAGAAAGCGAGTCTTGGCCTGGTTCTGCCAGCAAACTAAGAGCGAGCCATGGAGGGTCTTTTCTTGTTCCTCGGGAAATGAGACACGCGCCGACCTAACGATTCTAAGTTCGAGATGGCGCTGTCTCAGGAGCTTCAGCGCCTGATGGTAGAGCTTGAAGATGCGAACGTGGCGCTTGCTGCCAAAGATGAAAAGCTCGACAGTCCAAGCTCTCGGGCTTCGTTCCAGATCTCGCCAAGCTACTGGGCCCCTCGCCTTTCTTCAGGGGGCAGTGCAACGAAGATGTCAAAAGTGGGAGCTGCCAGGAGACCGTAGAGCTGCAGGCCTTGAAAGAGGAGCGTCGGTCCTCGGCCATCCAGCTTGAGATGATCCCAGCTGTGTCCAGGAGCTCCAGCAAAGAGATGCCGAGGCAAGAACATCTCCATCTCTTGTGGCAAAGTCTTTAAGTTGCAAGCTGCGGAAAGCCATGCAGCGAAGTCCATCAAGCACTGTTGCGGTCAGTCGGAAGCGTATTGAATGACAGGCACCTGCAAGGAGCATGATGCGGATCGATCGATTGGCAGGGCAACCAGAGAGCATCACACGTCATCTTCACGTAGAGCTGAGTACTTCATGATAGGCAAGATCCGAGTTCCCATTCAAGCCAAGTCCAAGTGACGGACTTGCAGTGCCCATGTTAAGGGACATGAGTGACGGACATTGGCTTCCCAGTGGGTATTGGCCCCACACAATATCCAAGTTCAATGACATAATCTCAATGACATGAGCCGGACTTCGGGCGGCCAGACGGGGATGCCAGTAAGAATGGGGGCCCCCGACCGATATTCTACTCTGATGTGTGGACAACTCGACGAAGTCGAAAACCGATGTGAATCGCAGGTGCAACGCCTTCGAACCAGCCTCGCTGATGCCGAGACAAAGATTCCAAACATCAAGGCAAGCGCACCTGAGACGAGACTTCGCTGACAACGGATATGTTGGGGCAGGGCCGGGCTGCGCCAGTGCGCAGTGACAGGATGGCGAGGAGACGCTAAAGGCCACAGTGCCCAAGTCCGTCAACCACTGGGGGTTTCGGCTTCAGCGCGGACTGGTCTACGAGGCCCGGCCCCTGGAGGGGCCAAGATTCTGAAGGCGGTTTTGCGGCTTTCTCCATGTCCAGGTAAAGAAAGGAGGCTGGGCTGAGGCCGTGAGCCTGAGACTGGGTGCTTGACTCAGACTCAGCGGCCAGTCGAAAGTAACGGGGATACTCGTAGCCTGCATAAGTTGAGGCGATCGGTTGTTGACCATGCAGGGCAGGCCCACTGCAGACTACAGCAGAGAGGAGTTCGACCGAGCCCCGTGGCTGCGGAGTCATGCTCGGCTACGCATGGCCTTGAGAATCCAGGGCGCCAAGCCGAGGTCAAGTCTGAGCGGCCTCTGCAGCTGAAGTTTCAGCGTGGCGGACGAAGGCAAGCAGAGGAGGTGGCGTCGACGAAGATTCAAGCCAACTGGAAGGGCAAGAAAGCGCGGAAGCTCCCGCAGATCGAGGCTCGGCTTCGCATTGGGGACGGCGAGATCTTGACGGCGACAGCGGAGGGACGGGCCGAGCTCGGCTTCAAGCTTGAGCACTGGCCACCAGCCCCACGGGTGCTGGTCCTCTCCGTCCGAAGAGGTGGCTGGGCAGGGGGAGTTGGGATGAAGCCAGGGGACGAGCTGCTGACGGTGAAGGGCCATTCCCTCCAGCACCTTGACCGCGGAAAGTTCCAAAAGCTTGTCGACAAGGAGCGTCCACTGGAGATCACTTTTTGCCGCGGCACGAAGGAAGACGTGCAAAGGATTGCATCAAGCAAAATTCAGGCAGGCTGGCGACAACGACGTGTGGAGGAAGGCAGTGCGCCCAATGCAGCAAGCCACCCCCCGGCTGCACCTTCGCAAGAGCGGATCTTTGCCATGATCAGCGAGAGCACCGAGGGAGCTACCGCGTCCGAGCTGAAGGGGCAGCTGGCAGAAAGGGAGCGGGAGCTGAGGATCCTCCGCCAGGAGCTCTGATAATGTGCGCGTTGCTGTAGACTATAAGTTACATGAGGGCCTTCAATCCCAAAGCCGGCAGAGGAGTTTTCCAAAGCCGAGTCCATGTTCCAGACGAGCCTCAGAGACATCTCGACCGATTCCTCCAACTCTGCGGTGGAGCTGGCCTCCTTGAAAGCACAGCTGGTTGTGGAGCAGTCCAAGGCTGCGAAATGCCAAAGCGACACTGCGGCCAAAACCACGAACCTTTCGGCGAAGCTCCAAGTGGAGCAGCGGAAAAGCGAAGCTCTAGAGACGCGCCTCATCCAGGCAGCTCCTCAGCTTGCAGTACTCGGTGAAAAGAGGGGCCATAGCGAACTTTTCCTTTGGGTGCGGCCCGACCCTCTGTCCTGTATGTGCAGCTTTGACTCGGAGACCAGCCGTGTCGACGGCTTGTCTTGCTGGGGGTGTGCGCAGCACGAGGAGATGCAGGTGAAGCATTAGCTTCGCAGCAAACCTGGGCTTGAAACAGTGGCACTGAGAGTCTGCATGATTTTGTGGCACCCCCTGTAAGCAATTGGGAGGAAGAGCAGGCAAACAGTCGAGTGTGCCATGCATTATCACGAGTATGTCATAAGCCATCAATTGAAGCATGCTTTTGGTGGGTTCATGAACTCAGCTTGATCTATTTGTTATTGTAATGCAGTGTAACCAACTAACAAGCGACGAGTTGCAGGATCCGACCCAGCCTGCCGGTTTGAATACCCCACGGATAGGTAAAGGCAGGGAGAGGAAGAAACGGAGACTAGGTATGCACGCACCCTCGCTGGGCCTTCAGGCGGGTTCCTGGGGGAACAGCAAGTGTCCACGTTGGCTTGAAGTCAAGTCTTGACTGCTGAGGAAGTGATCCATCAAGAGCAGATGAGCGAAATCACGGACTTTCTGACAGAGAAGCAGCAAGAGCTTCGTCTTTCTGACACGGACCTGCTGGAGATGAGCGCCGGGCGGTTTGCTTCCGGTCACACTGGGCCGAGTGCATCTCTGCTATATCTTGAGACACAGAACATCAGAACATGCGGTGCCCTTTGAGTTGGAGCGAAGGAGATGAAGGAGTTGAAGGAAAGGCTGGCAGAGGAGCAGGCCAAGGCACGGCGCAAGTTGCGAACGACCTGGCGCATGCAGGCAATGTCTGTGTTATCTTTGAAGGTCTCGCAGGCGGAGCGGAAGCTCGTGAAGAGCTGGTCAGACCAGCGTAGCTCGGCCAGACATAGCGAGCCATAGTGAGCCAAGCGCAGCCCCACGCCAAGAGCCCCGAGGAGCGATCGACCTACAGTGGCAAGCAGAGGTGGCAGCCCGTGATGAAAGGCTGAAGGAAGTCCAAAAGGACCTGGCAAAAGCAGAGTGGTGGGCCTCACTCTCCAAGCGTTCCCCTCAACACAAGGCTCCTTCTTGTGGTGTACCTGTCGTTTACCGGCTGTAAACTATAGGTTAGGCTGGATGAAAAATGGATGTTCCAGGAAATCCTCGACATCAAGGAAGAGCTGTCCATGGAGCAGTCAAGAGCCTCTCGTGCGGAGAGGCCCCCCCACCCAAGACAAAATAATTCTTTTTTTTTGGGCCGGCGCAGAGTCAGGAGACTGGCCGAAGCTCAGGCAAGCTTGGCCTCCACGTTCGCTGCCTTTTTTTTTTCGGGGTCTGCTTGGCACAGGACGCTGCTCGGCTGCTTGAAGAGATGCAAACTCTTCAGGCTCTGCAGCTGGTAGCTTGTGGAGTTGCCGTCGCCGCTTGTGCACCGGAACCCGCGCGGTGCAGGACGCCCTCAATCATGAGGAGGAGGGGCTGTGCGGAAGATGTGCTCGTACAAGCTTTGGCAGCATAGGCCATAGGCAACAGGAGCAACGTGTCGTAAACATCCCAAACTTTTTGTCCAGAAGCTGCAAACCTGTCAAGTCTAGATGGAAGCATCAAGGCCAGATTGGCCAGATGTCAACAGACTCCTCAAGCAAGCATCTGGCAGGCCTGCGTGTTGCAGATGAAGACGGCTCTCATTCACGAGGGGGCCTTGGAGTGTGCTCAGTGTGCGGCTCTGCTCTGTTTCCTGTCTCCCTTAGACAAGGCTCAAGCGCAGCGGCAGCTCACGGCCGAGGTTGCCACACAAATCCAGGTGCGCTGCGGCCAGGGCTCACTCGTGATGGTGGTCACAGCCTCTGGTTCAAGGCAGCAGCGGATGCGACGGCCAAGGTCCCCAACAGAGACGCCGAAACTTCTCTGTTTCTCTGTCTGTCATTGCGGCCAGGGGAACTTGGAGCAGCTGAGCTGGGAGCTGCTGGGCAGCATTGTTTTGTGGCTCGCAGATGTCTGCTTACCACAGCATTCCAGGTTTGGGAGGCAGCAGCGTGAGCTGCAGAAGGAGGGCTGCGAGGGCTGCGGCTGAGGGGATGCCACTCGTATCTTCCCAGAAACTTGCGAAGGTAATGTCCGAAGACGCAGCAGCGGTAAAGATGCAGGCTAGGACACGCCGGCCCCTCAGAGTTGAAGTTGGGAGGAGATGAACACTGAAGTGTGCCTGCAAAGGCGGGAATCAGGCACGCAAGCAAGTGGCGGTCATGAAGGCCAGCAAGAAGGCACGCTGGGGCAGACTTGATGCAGTCGCCCTCGGTTGGCCAGCTGCCAGCTCGGCTCGGCAGGCGGAGATTCAACCGACTGAATCTGCCGAAGACCCGATTCCTGGCGCCACGACAGGCCATGGGACGGCTGAACTGTGTTGGAACAGCATGGAACAGCAGTTGACGCACCATCAGAGGCCCTCCCAGCTCCACACCTCCAGAGAGCAAGAAACAAGAGAAGGACCAGAAGGCCAACCATATCCACGCGCCAACCGCAAGACTGCCGTCTCCCAGTTGTCGAAAGGCCCTTGACTCCGAAACCCTCGAGCTTCGCGCCAAGCTGACGACAGCGTTGACGGACTCGGCTCAGAGTGGCGCTCTCGCAGAAGGCTTGGAGAAGGCAGGCGTTCTAGGCTGACGCGATGCTAGAGGCGATCACGACGCGATGTGTCGCGTTTGCGCCTGTCAGGTGTATGGGAAACCCTCTCGTGCCGTGCAGACGCTTCGAAAGGTGCCGTGACAAAAACACTGGCTGCACGGATGGGGTGCTTACTACCTCCGGGCCGCAGGAGGTGGCGGCCTTGAGAAACAAGCTCTCACTGGCGGAGGCCGGGGACACCTATTGGCTGCTTTCGGGGCCTAGGACATGCCTTCCGCGATCCACTCGTAGCAAGGCCTCCAGGGCGGTTACGCCACCGTCGACACCGTCACGAAGGAGCTGCTGACTTAGCCGAGGCCTAAAACTGAAACCCAAAAAGAGCCCTAAACTGCTTCCCTCACACCACGCATCCTACCTTAAGAGCCTTATATATATATATATTATATATATTTTTTTTTGGGCTCTGTATGTTTTTGTTGTGCGTAGTTTGCATGCAGCTCGCCTCTCGCAAAGTCCAGCAGGATGTGCTGATGGGGCACTGCTCCTCGGTGTGTGTCAGCATCGGGCGTGCATGAGCCGTTCAGGACTCCCGCGAAGAAGAAGCTTCAGCAGTCGCCAAGTTCTGCTGCTTGGCACAACTGAAGCAGTGACATTCGTCTCGATGAAGCAGTGCTCGACCCGGTGGTACAAAAGGTGCGTTTCGCCATGGACGAGGCAGCCGAGGCAGGGACTCCGCAAGCTGCAGCTGCAAAAAATGGCAGCCTTTGTCAGACAGGCTTGAGCTGAGCTGCAGATAGCTGCAGTAGACTCGCAGCAAGTCTCCAACATGAAACGGAAACCCGTCATGGACTCCTTAGCCACAAAGTACTCAATCCCCTACGCCAGGGAGCTTTGCCGCCCGCTTCTGCTTCAGGAGGGCAGGCCGGTCCTGAGCCGGGAAAGCGGTGGAAGAAGTCCTTCGATCTATGGGTCAACTGTCTTTGAGGATGCGAAGGTGAAGCAGTCCGAGGCAGAGCCGCGCTTTGCTTGGATTTTTTGACTGCAGATGTAGCTGTGATGCCCTTTCGAGGATAGAGCGCAGATCTTTCAAGAGGACCCTGTCAGAGCGAGCAGCTCACAACTTGCCCCAAGTGGCCTTGCGCCTGGGGAGGAGGCTGCCAACTTCTCGAAGCAGATGGTCGCTTGGCTGAGGCTGGCAAGGCCAAGCAGGTGTCAAGCACAGCTAAGGAGCAGATGCGCAAGGAACAGGTGCCCTCTGAAGCAGTGGATGCAAGGGCTGTGACTGTTCTTCGGAATGAGAGGTGAAGATGAAGCAAGAGCTGGATGAGGCGAAGGCCCTGCAAAGTTCGGGATGCGTCACTCTGGCAGGGCCTTTCTCGCCGCTTCCATGCGTTGCAGGCGCAGGTGTTGGCCCAGGACTGCTCAACTTGAGGCGTCAGCAGAAGCATGTTGTTGCGGTGTCTTGGTAGCAGTGCTGCATCGTTGTGGCACCCTGCCGGCTCGAGCAGTCCAGCCAGGGCTTGGAGTGGTAGTTTCCCCCCCTTGTATGCACCCAGTGTGATGGGGCCTTGACGTCCTCGAGCCTTTCAGAAGGTTTTCTGCGACTCTGCACAATTTGGAATCGAATGTTTAACTTCGAGTACCCGGCTTCCTGAGGTATCCTGGACCATGCCACCCTACGGCATAAACAGCGTCTTCAGCCAGCCTCCGTCACAAGGTGCTGAACTCGGTCTAAGTCTAAGTGCCGAGGAGTTTCGATGAGCTGGCACGGTGCTTAATCAAGGCAGAGCAGCCCCGTATCCGTCGAAAACGACATGGGCACCGCAGCACCAGCAGACCTCACCTGAGCCTGAGCCTCATGGCAGAGATACCGATTCCCCGCAAGCGTCTCAAAACTGAGGTGGGTTTCCCGGCAGAGCCCTCCAGTGACGACTCAGGTCGTCGAGTCTCCAAAAGGCAACAAGAACTAAAGGAACTTCGCACTTTGGCCTGCGGTCTGCTCAGCCCAGAAGAGCCTCCTCGCAGGCCGGAAGGGAGGATATGGCGGTGCAGGCGGATATGGTCCATCACGGAGCGGCCTGCACCTTGACACGGCAAAAAGCTTCGACTTTGAAGAATGTGGGCATGATGGGTTTGACAGGGGAGTGGAGCACGAAGCCGGACATTGTTTAGTCTGTGTAGTCAGTGTACTCACTCTATGTACGTGTCTGCATCCTATAAAATCTGCATCTGCCTGCCCGCCTGTCTATCTATTTGTCTTTCTTTTGGTCTGCTGTCTGGCCATCCTGCTGTCGAGCCATGTGACCATCTGGCCATCTAGCTATCCAGCCAGCCATCCCTCCATCCGTCCATCTGTCCATCTGCACTATACATCTATCCGTCTCTCCATTTTGCATCTATCTGTCGATCTACCATGTGTAGAGCATATATCTGTATTCTGTTTCTCCGTACTGTAAGATCTGTCTTTGCCAGCGTCGGGGCAAGCTGAGGTCCGCAAGCGTGCAGGCAGTGGCTGCAAGGCTCGAGGCTGGGTCCAAGGGCCCGACAGCAGGACGAGATTGGACTTCCCATGCGGGGGGCTGCGGGGGCCGCTTGGATGCAAGACACGTCCTCTGTCCTCGCGTTGTTTTTGTGCATGAACCTTCTGCGAGGTCAGTCAGAGTCCTACCTTCAACAGGTCAAGCAGAAGTTGTCCGGAACGGCCAAGACGAGCACGGCCCATGTGACGCATTCCCAGCCTGATCAGCCTGCCACGAGCAATGTGGGAACACGATTGGCGACTCAAGGCCACGGGGGAGCTTTGTCAGCTTGGTAGCATGCAGGAAGCTTTTGTCTCCTATTACCTATGCTTTGTGAGGATCCGCGCTCAAAGCCTTGTCCGAGCGCTTGGGGAGGGCACGTGGAACGCCCGGAGGGTCGCAGCCCAAATCGAAAGCGAAAGCGACCTTCCCGGCTGTGCCCGTGGCACAGGCTTACCGCCACAGCCGCATGCCGGAAAGTAAAAGGGCCACATTCTTGCAGAAGTAGCCGTAGCCGGTGCTTGCTGTTTGGAAAGATAGGTGGCCGAGAGCTTTTGGCCGAAGTCCGGCACACTGGCACTGCGAGTCTGCTCTGAGGCACGCCGGCGCCGAAGCATGCCGCTTTCGTCAATGCAAAAAAGACTCGGAATGCCTGCGAGTCTGGCAGATGCGCACGCAGTCCCATGGTCGTTGCCTGCTACTGGCCTTGTAGGAGACCCTGCGCCGAAGAGATTCCAACCGCAAAAGAGATTCCGGCGTGCGAAGTGAGAGGGAGAAGACTGACAAGGCACCGTAGCTAGGGCTGGGAATACACTGGGCCCAGATTTCTTTGCAAGGCGATCTACCTCGGCGAAATCTCAGCAAAGGCCGGGCGCAGCCGGAACAAGAGCCGCGCCTCTGAGTTCGCTCGTGCGTGCCAGCAAGGAATCCATGCTGGAAAAGGCGCAGGAGGCGGCCAGGCTCCTGTAGACCAGGCAGCAGCAGGCGCGACCAGTGGGCGCAGGAGATCCGTGCACTTCAAGATCAGAAGGCTGACGCTGAGAAGGACAGAATGCTGCGGGTCCGCTGTAGGTAATGCTTGAATCACCACCAGCATGGAGTTTGAATGATTTGGCGCATCAACTCCCAGCGATGCTCTTGGGTTTGGGCTCGAACGTTGCAAGCGACGGGCGTCTACCGGTTCCATTCCCTCAAGCATTGCCGTGGCAACAGTCTGCTGCCTCCTAAGGTCTCCAGATCCTGTGCTAGGTGCTTGCAGCTTCCGCTCTGCAAGAAACTCGCTTTCAGAGCACAAGTTCACATCTTAGCAGACTGTGGCTGGACTGGAACGGGCTGACCAGCTGCCATCGGAGGAGCTCCAGATGATCCGCAACGTCTTGGCCTGAGCTCGGAGAGTTGCCAGCATGGAGCGAGCAGGCATCTCATCCATGCATACAAATTCCAATCAGTATGTCGGGACAGGGCCGAGAAGCATGCAGATTTCATCGCTTCGGTTGGCATGGGCATCATCGGCTGTAGGTTTTCGTTCTGAGCTTTTCGACATGAGCTTTAAAGATGCGGCTGCTGGTAGAAGCATCTGGAGCAGGGTCGGGTTGAAGCCGCGGCAAGACGCCACGTGCGCCGTGTGGCCACTTGTTTGTCTTCTTCTTTGGGTCTTCCTTGAGGAGAACTCCTCGTACTCCCCCCCAGAGCTGCAGGAACAGGTGCGCCAGACAGCGAAGCCAAGACACATCAGTCGCAGGGGGCTTCGGGTTTTGCGAGGCAGAAACTCGCCAGCTGCAGTTCGGCCCTTGGGCCTCGAGTGTCCATCTGCCTGATGTGGAACGCTTTGATGGGCCTCCGGGTCCCTGACGGATCCTTCGCATGAGGTGCGCCCTGAACATGCAGGAGGAGTTGAGTACAGAGTTGAGAAGACGTCTCTGGGAGGTGGAGCACTGGAGCCCTGCTCAGCGCATTCTTCTTTCTGGCCTCCCGTAACTTCGCAGGCACGCGATGAGCTGACTGCTGCGAAATCCATGGGATGGCAGCCAGAGGCGCCCTCGTCAAATTTGCATCTTCTTCTGTCATTCAAAGATCAAAGACATGTTTACCCCTGAGACCTCCCTACCGCCAGACTTGGGGTCGCTCGATTTTTCATCCGATAGTGGTATTGGGCAGGTGCCAGTTCCACCAAAGGCGGCCGAAACGCGGTCTTCACCAAAGGCGGAGCCGCAGGCAGGGTCTGTCTTTCTCGGCGGCTTGACTTATTGTGTTCACAGTGCCAGTCTCGGAAGGAACTGCAGGCACTGCCATCCGCGGAAACGGATCTGGGCTCCGTTCCGACTGTGGAGGCGTGTTCGCGTGGGACTGTTGCAAGGGAGCAGAGTGTGTGTAAGCCGTTGCACCCAGGTGACCCAGAATGAGGATTCCGCAGTGCGACAGGCCTTTCGCACCAGTCTCAGATGTTTGGGCCCGACGTGGAACGCATAGAGAAGCACCTTTATCGTGTTAAAGTTATTAAGGCTAGGCGGCTAGGCGCCGAGGCTCAGCAAGGGGCTATGGGTTGTCAGTGAGGCCACGAGCAGGAAGTGGCCCAGAACCTGCGCCTTGAGCTGCGAGAGGCGCTGTCCCAGAGAGAAACGAGGAGAGAATTCCAGTCTTCCAGCCATGAGCCTGCGGCGCAGGTTGAGACAGCTGCAGTTGCGACAGCAGAGGTTCGTATGCGTAACCTCAAAATAAATGCCACAACATGGAAGCCCGTAAGAGTAGCTACTGGCTACTGCAACTAGCCGCTAGTCCGTTGTCTTGCTATTGGTGCAGATCTGTCGTCTGCATACTCGACCTTTTTGCGAGGCCGCCGAGGCGCGAATCTTGCAGATTGAGGCAGGTGTCAGTGTGGTGGCAGCATCTGCTTAGCCCCTTTCTTGCTGAGTTTGCCTGGATGTTGAGCAGGCCATGGATAGAAGAGGGAGAGTGGCCCTGCACATGGCCGAAACTGCTGCCGAGAAAGAGGTGGTGGACATTGGTACGTTGCTGCAGTTTACACGACATATCGATGACATCGCAGGTGGTGCTGAAGCAAGATGCTATCAAAGCTGCATGCGAGGCACAGAAGCCCTCGCGCCTACGGTTCGCTACCGCTGCGTTAAGTCGTGCAGTCTGACATCTGCTTGAACAGGCCGAAGCAGTGCTGGACCAGGCGCGATCCAGATAAAAGCTCCATAGAAACTTAGAAGTTTTGTGCAGCGATGTAAGGAATGGATCCAAGCTATGGTTGTAAGGGGTGGATAGAAAGCTTTGCTTGGTATTTCTGGAGAAGGCTCGGGGTGCAGAGCAGCGCCTGCGCCACGAAATCTACGAGCAGTCTCAGGCAAGCCGTTCGGACATTGAGATCATGGGTATCCTGTGCGTCCAACGGAGGCAGCTTTCCGTGAGAGTGCCGTCTGCGATGGCCTCCGAAGAGCTCTGATGAATTCCGCCGACCCAGCTCAAGTTTTCGGGGAAGGAAGGAGGAGAAGAGCCAGCTGCTTCGACTCGACTCTTATTGATGGCAGGTGGAGCAGGAGATGGCCCAGGAGGCACGGCAGAGTGGGAACCCCGCGGCTGGGCACTTTGCTCCCGCTATTCTTGGGCTGTGCAAGGTTTTGGTGCGTTCGCTTGTCAGGCTTTGCACGCTGCACGCACTCAGCCCGCCTCCAATCCGATCCCGGAGAGGCATCTCCAAGCGCGAGCCCGACCCAGACTGCCAGCTGTCGAGTGCAGGTCGTCAGATCCCGCGTCAAAGCCAGCCTTCGGCCCCAGCAAAGTCCTCCTGAAGCAAACCCCAAAACTCGTGATCCTTTGTCTGAGGCACAGAGACCTGGCGAGGCTCCTGGTGGGTCCCTTGGAGGCTCCAAGACTGCAGAAGCCCAGTGCATTGCATTTGGCACTGCGAGGCCGTGGAGCCCAGCCATCCCAGCCTTCTCCCCCGAGAGCTTCGCAGCTCTTCGCTACGAAGCTGTCGAACCGGGAGGAGACAGCGAGAAGGTGCCAAGCGGTTTAAGCTCGCCTGAGCTGGAGGACCTGAAGCATGATCTGATGTCGCCTGTAGACGTCAAATCATGGATGGTGCGGGGCCCAGCGAAACAGCGAAGTGAGCTGAGGCTGCGCGTGCCTGCACGCTGAGAGCTTGTGCTCAGGAGCCCTCGATGATCTCGCAGCCCTCTCTGCTGAGTGCAGCAGCCAGCGAGGTTCGGGAGCGGGGCCATAGGTGAAGCGAAAAGTCAGAAGGGTTCATGTCATTTGCGCTGCATAGGCCGCCAGCCTGCGAAAGGAGGCCGAGCAATTGCGGAAGGAGGTGCCAGAAGCAGGTCCTCTGTTCTTCAGAGGAATTCTTAGAAGATGGACGACCGGTAGTTGTGCAGCCGCTCTTCAAGCAAAGAAAAAAACCACGTTCGATTTGCGTGCTTTGCAAGGTGAAGCACTGGCGTGCTTCGCGCCCGGCTCGTGCCGAGCCCACGGCTCCCAGCGAAGCCTGGCTGAGAGCTCGGCACAGCGACGGGTCGGAGACTGGTCTGTGAGAGCCTCCTGCCAAGGCCCGCCTCCCCGGAGCGAGTGTCCAGCACGCCTGCGCCAGCTTCGGCGACAAGCCCGAGGGCAGCTTGCGGCACATTGAGAACAGATTCGGAGCAAGGCGTGGCCATCGCCTCGAGTTGAGTTGATGACATGCACCTTCAGCAAGGTTTGAACCGAGAGGATTCATGGAGGCGTGTTTTTGTCTTGCCAGCAAGGCAGCGCTTGAATTGCCCGGTGCAACAGGCGGGGCTCGGAAGCTTCCCTTGCGCAGACGCAGGCCTGGTGTGTGAGATCTTCTTGGCCATTTTTGAAGCTCTTGGAAGTCTGCGAAGGTGCCGAGCCCCCGCTCGCAGCTGCCAAAGCTACACGAGCAGCCGCCCCCGCGTCCACCGCCTGTAACCCGGAACCACGTGCAGAAGCGTGTGTCTTGTGTTCTTCCTGTGGCTCCAGCGATGCCGAGGCCAGGACGGACATGACTGCTAGGCGACTCGGGTCTGTGGGTTTCCATCAAAGAGAGGTCATTCGCTTTGTTCAGGCCCCGCCTGAGCTGAGCACGTCTGCTCCTTGCTGCACTTCCGTGCACATCCCGATAACGAATGTTTGCTTTTTGCAGGAACAGTTCTGTCACCTCAATAGTTGCAGCTGAGCAATGCTGAGCAGCCACAGTGTTTCTACAAGTCCGACATGTTCCTGCAACGAAAGCCAGCTCAGCTAGTAGCAGTGCAAAATGTTCTCCAGTGAGATTCGCCTCACCATCGGATGGAGTAGTGAGTAGTGCCCTGCAGACGTTGTTCTCCTTTCGTGTTTGGCTCAGCACCTTCCTTTGTACAGATCCACACCTGTCGCGCCTCTGTGGTGCTGTCTTCAGGCATGCGAACTTACCAGAAAGCACTTCCAGTAGTTTCAATCCGACCCTTCCAGGACACCATGGGCGAATTAGGAGAGCGGCAAGATCCATCGGGTGGCGTCATGTACAATCAGCCTGAAGCCAAACTGACTTCAAGTCTTCCTGACCTAAGGCTGTGTAGATGGCCTAGCGTTGAAGTTAAAGCTGAAGTTACTCTTCTGCACGATTCAGGTTCGACCGCGTCAGGGTCAGGACCTGAGTGCGACGTTGCGAGCATTGTGATCTTTCATTACAGCCGGGGTGTGCGCTGCAAGGTGGAGTATACATGGAAGGACCGCATCCGCAAAGAGACGGAGGCACGGCTGTCAGGCCACCGTGCTGAGCCGACACTTTGCTTCCTTCCCTGGCACCCTCGCTCTCGCTCTCTCCCTCCGCGCTCGCTCTGGCTCTCGCTCTCTCGGTCTCTCGGTGTCGCTCAGCTCACAAGCCGCAGCAGGTCCTCGGTCGGGCTTCCAGATGAACATGGCGCAGCTGAGCGCTAGTGGCGGCTTCCTCCACCTCAAGCCGGGGCCTCTCTCGATGGTAAGTTCTGGTCCCGCCCAGCAATTCAGGAATTGTGCATTGCATACTCGCAGGCACGCCCACAACCGACTAGAGACAGTTGTGGAGAAGGACGGGAGATGCGAGGCTTGGCCTTGGCTTGGTGGCTTGGTGCTCGTTGGCCTGCAGGAGATCAAGCAGTCTCCGCAGCAGCGAATGTCTGCAGAAGGAATGGACCCCAACAGCATGGAGGCGCCGCGACGCCGTCCCGCGGTGGCTCGCACGGCACTCGGGGTTCGGCTCAGAGGTCCTCGCCATCAAGCACATGGCGAGAAGGCCGCCAGAGAAGTCGCAGTCTCAGACGACTTGGCAGAGCGTTGCGTCGCTCGTCGCAGCGCTGACCAGGTTTGACACGCCTATGACGACCACACATGAGCTAGGCAGCCAAACGCAGATTTGGCTGCCACATGTCTAAGTGCTGCCGGCAGTCTCTTTCGCTGTGGAAGCTTTGCGCTTTCGCCGTTGACAGTCGCTTGTTTGCCGAATATTGCCGACGTGCAGCTGCTCCATCGTCCCCTACATAGAAGCAGCCTCTTAAACAGACTCCGCTTTCTAAGCGGCGCAGAGCACATCTTAACGCCAAGCAAAATCCTGGCAGCTTTTTTTCCGGGAAGGGCCCCTAGTCGCCATGGCCAGAGCTCACGAGCTTTGCACCGGGATGGCCCCGGAAGGATACCCCGTCCGCCCAGTGGACAAGCTGCTTGGACTGACTTGAAGTTAGGGCTGCCTAGGCGCTTAAAGTTGTCGAGAGTTGGGAGAATCGACTTCAGGTGGTTCCTGAAGACGAAGGCGGACCTGGAGCTCAATGGTAACTCCTTCGGAGGGCACTTCCTAGACACGACCACGCCGCTCCTCTGAGCGTTGAGGCGGAGCCGTTGGCCCTGGTTTCTGTTCCTGGCTTTGCTCAGGTCGCACGAGCTGCCCAGACACGTCCTTGAGAGAACCAAGTTCACTGTCGCCTGCAATCGGGGCGCAAACGCAGGCGCGCTGTCGAAGCCAGTGCTCTCACAGTTCTTGAAAAATTGCTCTGCAGGGGCAGACGAGCCTGGCAGCCGGCACAAGCCTCTGCCGGATCTGTCGCCTGAGAAGTCCCCGAAAGCAGGACCCTCACCGGCGCAGAAAAAGCGCCTGCGCCTGCCTCCAGCAGATGAGTCGCAGTGGCTGAGCTGCGTTTTGCCGACTTTGTTTTGCATCTTCGAGGTGTGAAGATGTGTAGAGGTCGGTAGGTCGTCTCTGTCAGAGTGGAACGTGTCAGTTTTCGCTTCGAGCGGCAAGGCAGCCCGAGACCGTGCGGCATGGAGGTCGACAGAATGCATCCACTGGTGATCTCCATCGGCTTCCCCAGCTTGGGCAAACAGGAGGCTCAGCGAAAGCGCGAAGTTGTCAAGTCTGTTCCACCCCATCAGCGGATTCGCGACCGAAGGCTTCCACATGGATCCAGGAAGGACGACGAGGGGAAAGAAGCTGAAGTGGCATGCTTATATTGACGGTCCTGGTGTGCTTGTGCATGTGGTCAGCTTCTTGCTTGTTTCAAGGGCAATATCCGCCGACACCCGCTACGCAAAGCGGGGTTGGGGACGCGGTGGGCCGATGTTCTGGCCTGAAAGCTCGTTTTGCATGAGTCAAACAATGACGAATTTGCACAGCTACTGCTAACTCGCTTGCAGACGATTGCAACTCTGCACCCTGCAAGTGTAACAACAGCTTGAAACTGGCTGGGATCCACCTCGAAGGCGTGATTTTGGTCAGCGCTTGTTGTTTGGTCAGGAAGATCATACAGGTTCGGTCTGGTAAGAGCAGCGCTGATCCAATTGAGATCCACGCCGTTTACAGTAAATATGTCTTTGCGGGCTCCCGTCCCAAGAGAACTCCTCCAGTTGTTGTGCACAGGCCTGTCCTTGTGCACCGCTGTGTGGGCACCTGTTCTTATCATGGTCTACATTGGTAGCAGGCATAGCAGCTCGATGTCTTGTGGCCATTGTGCCCGTACGCCGTTCGTATCCAGCTGGTAGTCCAGTCGTTTACTGACCAGCCCGAATGTCGGCACCTGAATTTGCATGCATGCGTCGTTTTGCCAGCTACGAGCTTGATGGCTCGCTGAATTTTGCAGACTTCGCAGACTGCGAAGCATGTAGGACAATGTAGGATAGGCTCTTGCAACATCAGACGATGCCCCAGTGCTTTGGCGCTCTGGCATACCTGACAGCCAGACCCAAACATGCATGCACGTGGGCTCGCCTTTTGCATGCAGCTCAGTGTCCTCAGCATTGCCACTCCTTCAGCTGGACCCTCGACTGCTCTGATTGAAGGCTGGCTGTTGGAAAGCCCAGTGCAGTCGAAGACGTGGGTCTCTCTGTACACAGCACGAACTCGGAGGATGCTGCAAGCAGAAGATTCCCGTGCAAAGCTTAGGCTCTTGCCGCTTCCGAAGGAAACCATGCGACTTGACCTCAGTGCATCCAGATCTAGCTAGGCCTACACAGTGCGAGATGGAAGGGGTGCATACTCCGAAATGTGCGGTACCTGGCAGGGAAGAGCGGGAGCACAGGGCAGATCAGTGCGACTCCTGGCTGGGTTTGAGAAGCATCCTTTCATACAGAGCTCACCTGTGCTTCTTGCTTCCGGCCCAAGCACTTGAGTGAATTTTCGATTACAAGAAACACCTCGCAGTCTAGCCAACAGGCGACAATGACAGGTGAGCATCACAACGCTCTTCAGGACAGTCAAGATGGTTCCATAATCATGCAACATGCAACACGAGATCCAACCGTGAAAGTAGCAGCAGCTGCTTGCTTTACAGCGAGACTGTTCATCGCGGAACAAGCGTGGTATCCAAATCAAATTCGATTGCTGACATGCAACCCGGTGCTTGTGAGCAATCGCAGCTTCGCCGATGGCATCTGAAAGGACCCGCCTGTTTCTTTTTTAACAGCTGTACCTTCTCCAAACCCTACTGGGAGTGCTTGATCACATGTACGAACAGTGTGCCAACACGATTTCGAAAGCAAGCTAAACATTGTACGCTTCTTCCCTTCGGCTACGAGTTTGCTGCGCATGCAACCTCTGATACTAGCGCTACATCGTGTTCTTTTGCTTGTGAATCTATCAGTACTGAAACACGATGATTGCCATCAGTATAGACGCTTATCCTGCTTCTGCTTCAACTTCCCTCCTTGTTGCAGCAACAGCCTCCTCCTCCTCCGCCTCCCACCACCACCACGACGACCACGACCACGACTACGACCACGACCACGACCACACTGCCACGACCACAGTACCACGACCACACTACCACGCTACCACTAGCACTACCGTTGCAAGAGATCCGATCTGGCAATTTCTTGCTTGGCGGTGTGTTTTCATTGCGCCTGAATCTTTGTCTTTGCAGGTGGATGAGGTGAGTATCGCTTGATTTTTTCAGGTCTCGTCCTTTCATGTCGCGACTTCGTGGCTTGTCGCAGGAAGCTGACGATAAGCGAGAACTTGATAGCCAGCGGGATTGCGGTGGTCGGTGCCACGGTGGTCACACATCCCATCGACGTCGTGAAGGTGCAGCTCCAGCTCTCGGCCAAAGATGCCCAGGCACCACAGCGATGAAGAGAGACCGTATGAGTTGGAGAAGCTTTGCCTACTGTGGTTGCCTTAAGGGTATGAGGAAGAAGCCTTGGAGCATGTGAGCCAGGCGGACTCCTTCAGCATCCGGCGCTTCGTGAGCTTCTGGGGGAAGTTCCAGTCCAGGGTGGGCCTGCCAGGCCTCTTCTCGGGCGTGCGAGCCGCGGGCCTGCGGGCGGCCACCTACGGCTCTGTCCGCATCGGCCTCTGTGAGCCACTGCAGCAAGCAGCGGGCAACAAGACCCAGGGCGCCTTGGCTGCTGGCGTGCTGGCGACGGTGGTCGGGAACCCTTTCGAAGTCTTAAAAGTGCGCCTCCAAGCGCGGCCGGGTGCAGTTGGAGAGCTGCAGCTTCTTCGAAGCATGTTGCAGGAGGACCTTGTTGCGCCTGTTACACATGGCCTAAACCCTTTGATGCATCAGAACAAAGCTGCATATTAGATGTTTTTTAAAAATCCGCGCAGCAGACTGCAGGAAGGCATCGCAGCCTTCGGGAGAGGCTTCGGCTGGGCGGCAGCACGATCTGCGCTGTTGACGGCAAGCCAAGTCGTGCCATACGAAGCTCGCCAGCAACCGTGTCACCAGCTTGCCCATGTGAAGTAGGGGTAAGAGCTTGGTAGTGTTTCTCGTTCCAGGATCGGAAACTCATTTCGCTCGGGCCAATCGTTCTAGCCGATAAGATGCGGTCACTACGTACTACGGGACGGTCAGCACAACTATGAGTGCCACTTTCTTTGACACATACGAGGGTGACTGTCAATGATACTATGTGGGTGTCGCACAGGTGTGTTCGCAAAGAGGGCGCGGGTCATGGTGAGGGTGCTCTCGAGCAGTCTTTCTGCCATTTTTTTGGACGTTGGGAACCTAAGCGAGCCCCAATGACGCTCTCCGACGGGCTGCGAAGGCGGCATGGATGACGCCTGATCAGCTCGCATCTGGCTCCCTCCGTCACTCCATCCCTCCATCCCTCCCTCCCTCCCT